CAAAGGATATAGAGCCAAAGAACAATTAGAGTTAGTGCACACAGACGTGTGTGGTCCCATGAACACCCAAGCGAGAGGAGGGTTTGAGTACTTCATCACTTTCATTGATGATTATTCACGTTTTGAATATATTTACCTAATGCGACATAAGTCAGAAGCTTATGGAAAATTCCATGAGTTTCAGGCGGAAGTGGAGCGCAGATTAGGTAAACTTATCAAAACACTTCGATCTGATCAAGGAGGTGAATACCTCTTGGGGGAGTTCAAGGATCATATGGTCAATGAGGGTATTGTGCGCCTGTTATCCGCACCTGACTGCCCTCAATAGAATGGAGTGGCAGAAAGGAGAAACAGAACTTTACTTAACATGGTTAGATCTATGATGAGTTTTGCTACATTACCTCTATCATTTTGGGGATTAGCCTTAGAATCAGCGATGTATATTTTGAACTGTGTTCCATCCAAGTCTGTTTCAGGAACGCCATATGAGCTGTGGTTTGAACATAAACCTAGTTTAAATCACATGCATATATGGGGGTATCCAGCACACGTGCGAAAGAAACAGACAGACAAGTTGGAAGCAAGATCAGATGCATGCTTGTTTGTTGGCTATCCTAAGGGCACTAGAGGTGGATTATTTTATGATCCCAGGGACAATAAGGTTATTGTCAGCACTCATGCTGTTTACCTGGAGGAGGATTATATTATGAACCACAGACCTAGTAGCCAGATAGTGTTAGAGGAGATGGTTGGCACATCAGATATACCCCCTGTGGACACACCTAATATAAATACTGAGAATGATGAGACACAAGAAGTCCCTGTTGAATTACCATCATCTAGTACATCGATTCCTGCACCGGTCCTTCGGCGTAGTGGGAGGACTATCATCTAACCCGAAAAACTCACACTTTTGGGTGAGGTCTATGAGGCCGTCCCCGATAAGCATGAGTCGGACCCAGTAAGCTATGCGGAAGCGTTGATCGATATAGATGCGAATCGTTGGAAAGATGCCATGAAATCAGAGTTGGAATCGATGTATTCTAACAAAGTCTGGGATATTGTAGAACTTCCTAGTGGGGTTCAGCCCATTGGTTGTAAGTGGATCTACAAACGAAAGAGAGGAATGGATGGGAATGTTGAGACATTCAAAGCTAGACTGGTTGCCAAAGGCTTCACTCAACGTGAAGGTATTGATTATGAGGATACATTCTCACCAATTGCAATGCTTAAATCTATTCGTATTCTTTTGGCCATTAGTGCTTATTATGACTATGAGATATGGCAGATAGATGTTAAGACGGCATTTTTAAATGGCCATCTTGAACAAGACATCTACATGAGGCAACCAGACGGTTTCGTGGTTAAAGGTCGTGAGGATTGTGTATGTAAGTTGAATAGGTCTATTTATGGACTTAAGCAAGCTTCACGCACATGGAACATTTGTTTTGATCAGGCAGTCAAATTATTTGGCTTTGAACAAAACGTGTTTGAACCTTGCGTTTACAAGAAAAAACAGGGTAATGTCATCATTATTCTCGTTTTATATGTTGATGACATCTTACTCATTGGTAATGATGTAGAGGCTTTGTCATCAGTTAAAAGATGGTTGTTCAATAAATTTGAGATGAAAGATCTTGGAGAAGCAAGCTATATTCTTGGGATCAAGCTTATGCCAGATCGGGTTAAAAAGAAAATAGGCTTGTCTCGAGAGTCTTACATTGACAAAGTTCTGATCAGGTTTGGAATGGAAAACTCTAAGAAAGGGTTTTTGCCATTTAGACATGGGTTGGCTCTTTCTAATGATCAGACTCCCAAGACTGATAAGGAAATTGAGCAAATGAGGCGGGTACCATATGCTTCGGCAGTTGGTAGTCTCATGTATGCCATGGTCTATACCAGACTAGACATCTGCTACTCTGTAGGGATTGTCAGTAGATATCAATCCAATCCTGGACTTGATCATTGGTCAGCTGTGAAGAATATCTTAAAATACCTTAGAAGAACTAAGAATCTAATGCTCATTTATGGAGGTGATGATCTGGTTCCAGTCGGATATACGGATTCTGATTTTCAATCAGATCCTGATGCCAGGAGATCTACATCTGGATATGTGTTCAAGTTCAATGGAGGGGCAGTTAGTTGGAAGAGTGTCAAGCAGGGTTATACTGCTGACTCAACCATGGAAGCAGATACATTGCAGCCTCTGAGGCAGCAAAAGAAACTGTTTGGTTGAGAAACTTTCTAATTGAATTGGAGGTTGTGGAGCAGATAGATCGGCCTATGACGCTTCATTGCGACAATAGTGCAGCTATAGCCCAAACCAAGGACCCAAAATTTCATAAAGGAACAAGACACATTCAGAGGAAACATCATGTGGTTCGTGATATAGTAAAGCGAGGAGATATACTTGTGGCCAAGATTGTATCGGAACATAACCTTGCTGATCCATTCACAAAGGCTTTACCGATCAAGATGTTTGATCGTCATATGGAGAACATGGGAGTTAGATGTGATTTGAATTGGCTATAAGTGCAAGTGGGAACTGTTAGGATATGTGTGCCCTAGCATAGCAAATTCTTATTTTGGATTGTAAAAGTCATGATTTCTTATCTGGATATTATTATTAAAGTATTATACAATTGGTGAATGGAATGTATTATTTTTCGATTCTTTATGGAATTGATGGTGTCTGCTTGATTACAAAATATATTTATATATGTATGTAATGGCAATTAATATTATGATATAAATTAGTAATCATAAATGGTTTAAAGTCGGTAATTATAGATAGACATTTAATTAGTTCAGACTTAAACCGAGTCCACGATAGATTGAGATATATTGCGAGAGCTGTCGTATGCAATTGCTCTCTATCACAGTCATGGCTTTTGACTCTCAAGTATGAAAGAAGTATAGACTCTTTTATTAATTAATAATTACTTTGATTTGTTCGGCGGATACCTCGGGATCCTTAGATCGACACTTTGGGTAGTTATGTAATTAATAATTAGAGGTCTATATTCTCAATATTTGCATTAGTGCTATTTGTATTTCTTTTGTTTTGATTATGATTGATCACAAATTAAATTCGAAGGCATTCGTATGTTTTAGACAAATGTTTTATATATATATATTTATTTAATAAATTATTATTATTTTTTGTCAAATAAATATTTTATTGTGATCGAGCCGGAAATAATCAAAGGTAACAAAATAATTGTATTAATTATGTTGTCAGATTGATGGCTTTAATTATCCGATAAATAATTAAGTATAGAGGGGTCAAAATGCAACATTGACTTAGAGGTTATTTACTATTTAATTGGAGTGCAATTAATTTCTTTTAGTAGAGTAGAAATTAATTTATGAATTAATTGAATTGGGCCCATGGTTTAATGGACCGGACCAATTATTAATTTATAGGAGCCAAGAAAATAGTAAGCCCAAAAGGATTCTCACCAATAGCCCAAGTTGATATTGGAGTCATGTTAGAATTGAGAAAGTTGAATTAGAGATGGAGAATGATTTATTGTTTCCTTATTCTTATTTTTATTTTACCTATATATACATGAGTTCATGTATATTTTTGGAGTAACTTGGGAAACAAGAAAAAGGAATACACTTTCTCTCTCTAGATTTTAGGGTTTTATTTTCTCTTCTAAAGGAGGCTACCACCAGCCTAGATTCCAAGGTCATTCATCAAGGCATATTGGTGATTCCTAAAAGGAAGATAATAATCAAAAGAAGGAGAAATGATCTTGCTAAAGGGATCTACTATAAGTAAGAACATTCACTTTAGAGGAAAGTTCAAAAGGTTTACTCAGACCTTTGATGTAAGTATTCAATCTGTTTATTGAATTATGCATCATCTTTTATTTATTTTTGTATAAAACTTGTCTCTATGTAATGAATCAAGATCAATGATTGCAAATCCCTCAAAAAGTTTTAAAAACTTGCATGTTTCCCAACAAAAAATTCAAGCAAAGTAGTGATGACATTTTATAATTCATTAAGTTTTTTTTTTTCCGACAATAGTGGTGTTGGGTTCTTGTTTTGGAATAAATTTTTTCGAGATTTAAAATTGAAATTAAAAAATAAATTGGATTGTAATTAAAATAGAATTTTAATAGCATGTTTAGAATAAACTGAAATTTGTAAGAAAATATATTATTTGTACAGTACCATTTTAGACTGAGAGATATGAGTGATAGAGGTCTATAGAGTGATAGAGACATGTAAACGGTGAGTTTGAAGAATTCAAAATTCTAATGATTAGTTTCCCAAAAGACATTAATTTTTTTTTTTTTTGCCTAAAATTCGTGAAATCCCATCCCGTTTAAAATTCTATTCTTCCATACATCTTAAATCACTTTTCAAATTATATTCCTATAAAATTTTTGTCTGTCATTCCTTGTCGTTTTATTTTTTTAATATTGATATTTAAATTTGAACCCAACTTGAGAGTACTGATATTGATTTGTAATAATTCATAAAAATCATAACATATTAAATTTTTTTGGCAAAACCTAATTTACCAAATTAGTGATATTGTATGTTTTGATATTATAACAGATGAATTAAAACAAAATTTTCAAATTTTCAAAATAAATTTTTATTATCCAAAATAGGTTCGATTTATACCCAAAATCTTCCTATAACAAAACGGTAATTTTAATATTAACCAAAAGTATAACTCCTGGTATACTTCCCATGCCAAACGCCCTTATATATTACAAACCCGAGGTATGGAATCAGATGGAGAAAATTCCGAACAATTACTAATTCATTAAAGATATTTTAGAGAAATTGCTTTGAATTTTCTTGTTTGACTTCCTTTTCGCTTGCGTAAACCTTCGGCTCACTTTCACTTTAAGATATTTAGCGTTTAGTGGAGCCGAGTTGATAAATCTGCGTAAGCCGTTAAGATACCCTAGCCGAACAAGCCGAGCTGTATAAGCGAACCACGCACGATTAACCCCATTGGCGTTGTCGTTATACTCGTGTGTGCACACTACACAGCGTATCGCTCTCTCTCTCTTTCTCTCTCCTCTTCGCATGTAATCTTCTTCTCAACTTTCCCTATTTAATTTATACAGTTTATCCATTCCTGTACAGAAAAGGGCTTTTCTCTTAGCAGGTAACTTCGTTTGCATACTCTAGGTTTAATTAATTGAAATTTCGTTGTCTCTTGATGTTTATTTGGTTTCGTCTTTGGTGTTCGTTATTCTAATTAGGGTTTAATCGATTGTTCTTTTCCATTCACAAATCTTCTTCTTGTGTAATGAATTGGGTTTATAAATTTCTTGTTTCTTTTCATAGGGTTTAGAATTTTATACGATTCTGTTCTGTTGGGTTGTGGAAATTTGCATTCAGGGTTTTATGGGTCCTTAGGGTTTCCTTAAATTCAGTTGTTGTTGTTGCGTCCTTATAGGATTATGTGTGTGTTTTTTACCCTTTTGTTTGGTTGCGTAGAAGAAGATCGAAGGGAAGAAAATATAAATGAGAGAGTAAGATTTTGAACCCTTTAGGTTCTGAAGAAAAAATAAACTAGTTATTTGACTCTGCCTAATGCTTGTATTTAAATTTTTTATATTGGTTTGTAAGTTGAGCCATCTTTCTGGGTGTTACTTTCACCCCATCATTGGCTCACAATTGCAACTCCATTAATCTTTGTATGTACTTGTTTTACCCTCTATTCTGTCACTGAGAAAACTGCATTAAATATGTAGCTTCATGTTTATATTGTTTTTGTTTTGGATAAAATAAATGGGGCACTCACTTTAATGGAGCTAAATAATTGCGTTAGGTCAGTTAATTATATAGGGGTGTGTGTGTGTGTGTGTATATATATATATATGTATATATTTTGTCGGAACCAAATATTGAATGGTTGCAAATTTATTTTCTTATCTTTTCTAGCACTTCCTCAGCAATGGGTTCTCTTATACTGAATTTTATATTATTACTACGAAATTAGTGTGTGGATTAGAATAGTGTAGATGCCATTTTCCCCTCTTTAGAAGTAAATGCTGTGGCTTTTGTCTCCAATGGTTTTGCTAAAGTGATGGAAACTAATTGAAATTCTCTCTTGAGGTGAATATTATTGTTATGTTGTTATTGTTGAATTTAATAGGAGATAGGCTGCCATTTGTTTGCTCCCCATGCAAATTGCTATTGTAGTTCTGATTTTTATCTAAAATCTGCAATATTTTTGCTGTAGTGTTGAAGCAATTCGGATCTCCTCTATGAACTGTCGTTTTACTTGCTTATAGTGCACTTTTTTGGAGACAAATGAGAGGAAAAGGAAAACCAATAGGTCATTCTCGACCTAGAACTTGTTCTGGGAGGAAGGCACTGAAAAGGTGCAAGAATATTGGGAAAGCTGATAATGTTGTCCTCATCGATGTTGATGGTGATAATATTGATAATGTTATTATCATAGACGTTCCCGACTCTTTACCACAGAAACAACAAGGTTCAAGTGTACCAAGAGAAGACAAAAATTGTCCATTGCAGAATGTAATTTGCATTGATGATGATGAAAGTGCTGATAGCAACCATCTTGGAATTGGTGTCGACGGTGCCGATAACTTTCATAGTGATGGCTCCTCTAGCACAAGACCTTGTCCCGTTTCCAACCATTCCCTAGATGCAGATGGTGATGAGTGTCAGTTTGTTCAGGAAAATATATCTCCAATAAAGATATCGAAGTGCAAAAGAACCTATTCTGGGAAAGCTTCAACCAGAAATCGTTATGGTTTGAATCCTGAGCCGGAGAGTTGTTCATCTGATAATGATTGTCCTGATAGTGAGTTTATGGAAGGTTCTTCTGGAAAGCTTCAAGAACAGTGGGAAAAAGCTTTCTTTAAAAGAAAGAAAGGTGTCTGCAGTGGTCAGTCTGAAGCTTCTAGGTCCCATACTGATGGTTGCCAAAATGTCGAGGTAGAAAACATGACTGAGCAACGTCCAAAAGCCCCGGTTTGTTCCAGTTCAAGCAATGCCAGCTATGAAAAAGAAGCCCACAAGTTCAGTAATCAAGGTTCTTTTGGGAATCTTCCAGAACACTGGAAAAAGAATTTCTGCAATGGTCAATCTGGTGCAGGGAATCAAGCTAGTGTTCTTAGGTTTAATTTAGATTCTCAACAAAATGTTGAAGTGGAAAACATGACTGATTCGCAGACAAATGCCCCAGGTTATTCTAGTCCAAGTTCTCCTTTTACTGCAGCAGGTGATGGCAAATTGGGGAGCACTTCTCCTAATCCAATGATGAATTCTAATGCTGATTTTGATTTGAAGTCAACAGAAGAAACACGATTTTCTTGGAGTAAGGCTGATGTTCGGGACAAAGGAGAGTCTTTCACAGCAGATCCTCCCTCCAACTATGCTGAGTGGCAACCCTGCAGACACTGCAAGCATGGTGTCTCCTGTTTCTGCAGCGAAGAAAAACAAAGTTCTCGAGGACCTTTTTCTTCTACTCTAGAACAGGATAATGAGCAAGTTAATCCTGCAAAAGAATTTTCTCATATTAAGGAGAAAAACCCATGGGCAGAAACTTGTTTGTCTAATTCCGAGCCAAGGGTTGACATAAATTGTGGTCATAGCAAAGCTAGTTTGATGGTTGACGAGGTTTTTTCTAGCCATAGCCAATGGCTGGCTGAATCTCTGGGTGATCATGGCAGATTTGTCAATAGAAACAAACGTAAAAAGTTTCATCAGACAGCTTCCAGTTCTAATGAATTAAAACAAAATAGCAGTAGTTTTGCTGATAAGGAGAAATCAGTGTCTGGAGAACCTTCATTTCGGCATACTCAATCATCTGATGGAACTGGGGTTAATCATGGTGTTGTTTTTGACGATGAAGTTGCGGCTGTTTCTGGAGGAACTTTCTGTAGAGGTCCATCATTGGTCAAGTCAGGAATCAGTAATGAAAAGGGTTTTTCTCAAGAAGTAGGGAAGTCTCTTCCTGAGGAACCATCTTTCTGCAACTTTCATCATAATGAAGCACAAACATCTGTTGTACCTATGTCTGATAGTCAACAGCTTGATGAGACGGATAACTCAATGAATACACAAAACGGTGATGTTACAGACACTGTTCATAGTTGTTTGATTAGTAAACGAGAAAAGCTGAAGGAAACTGATGAATATAAACGAGCAATAGAGGAAGAATGGGCATCTAGGCAGCGAGAATTACAAATTCAGGTTTGGCAATATACGCAGATTCCTTATTTCTCATCCACGAGTGAAACAGGCTTTTCTATGCTGATTCCTTTGTGTGATTGCTTAATTATTGCATGCATTAAGAATTTAACCTAGTTATAAATGCATATTATGTGGTATATGGAAACGTATTGGATCATGGAAATAATTGTCTACCTGAAGAAATTCTTCACAGGTCCTGTCTTTCAAAGACAGGAATTGTAATCTTGTTTATTATTCCTTGCAGATTTCCTATTCCTTGGTGTATGTATACTTCTCTCTCTCTCTCTCCCTATATATATATATATATGTATTATATTTATACTTGTTTTTACATGCATACTAATTTGCGATAAAATAAGAGAAAATCGATTGAGATGGTTTGGTCAAACACAAAGAAGACAACTAAGTGTGCCAGTTACGAAGAGTGACATGGTATGCATTGACGGTAATGCTAGGGAAAGGGAAAGGGTAAGGGAAAGGGGAAAGACCAAAGTTAATGTGGGTAGAGTTAATAGGGCTGTAAATGAGTTGAGCTTTGGAGTGTTTGGGCCCGGCTCGACAACTTCAGAGGGGTACTTTAGCTTGTCTCGAGCTCGATTGAGCTTTCACTAGCCAAGATTGACCTCGGCTTGGCCGTGTTTGAATGAGCTCAAGCTTGGCCCAGTTAAGCTCATTTTTGTGTTAATGCCTGTGTATACATGTGTTTGTGTGTGTGTATTTATATATATAATCGTTGTCAATCTCGATTGATTAGTGATCTTCAGACCAGTATTTGGTCTCCTTTGTTTATCGCAAACTTCAGATTTCAAAATTCATGCAAATATAGGAGAAAGAATATAGATTTGTGTGTGAGAGGGAGGGAGGGAGGGAGGGAGGGAGTTTGGCATAAGAAGTTGCATTCTAAGAGCCAGTTTGGGATTGCTTCTCTACCACTAAAATGCGCCTTCATTTCAAAAAACTGTGGTTAGATGTGTTTGGTGACAAAAAAAGTACTTTTAGGTGGTAGAGATTTCTTAAAAAAAAGTGCGTTTACTTGAATTTAGAAATCGTAGCTTTTAGAATTGCGTTCTTGGTAGAGGTAGGTAACTGCTATTTTTAGACAATCTATTCCTTTTTTATTTTTTATTTTTATAAATACAATTTTATCCCTTGCTGTTCTGCATAACTGCCACTGTTCTCATCGTATCTGGTAAGCCGCACAGCCGCGTAGAAGGTGAGGGAGGGAGATAATCTACTTGGCATAAGAAGTTGCATTCTAACAGCCAGTTTGGGATTGCTTCTCTACCACTAAAATGCGCGTTCATTTCAAAAAACTGTGGTTAGATGTGTTTGGGGACAAAAAAAGTACTTTTAGGTGGTAGAGATTTCTTAAAAAAAGCGCGTTTACTTGAATCTAGAAATTGTAGCTTTTAGAATTGCGTTCTAGGTAGAGGTACGTAACTACTTTTTTTAGACTATCTATTACTTATTTATTTATTTATTTATAAATACAATTTTATCCCTTGCTGATCTGTATCACTGCCGCTGTTCTCATCGTATCTGGTACGCCGCACAGCCACTATAGGCCACGTTGAGTGAAAATATGCTCTTTTTAAAGATTACCTACCATAAGATGTATACCATCTATGAAAGCATAATTCATGTTAACCAGCTATCATGTCATATGAATGGATCATACTAACATTAATATCATGCAACATTTTTAGTAGTGTATGTGTAATATGGTAAATTAGTAATAAAAGTGCTTTAATTGACATCATTATCAAACAAATTTAAAAGTGCTCTAAGTATAAAAAACTACTTTATACAATTCATCACACATAGCATGTTTTTTTTTTACGTAAAATGGTTTTGTGACCAGCTCTTCTGCTAAAACCGCTTTCATCATTCTAACCGCAATCCCAAACGGTCTTTAAGTCACATAGAGTGGGAGCGTCGAAGTCTAAAATTTTTGAGAGCCGGAGTGTCTTAAGTCTATATGTTAGGTTTATATTTAACTATTTTATATTAAATAGGATTATATCACGTCATGACATAATTTTTGTGATTTTTTTTAATTATTTATTTAAATCTATATGCAAATATATTTATTATTTGTTCCATTAATGGCATATGAAATAAATAAGCTAAATTTTTTCACAAAGGAATATGTGGCTTAGTTGTGGGTTATTTGCTGTGTTCTTCAATTGGTTTCCGTTTCAATCCTTTGCACCTTCAGATTCTTAGGGTCTCTTTTCCAAACATATGTAATTAGTATATGCAAGGGCGGATCCAGGATTTCTAGGTGGGCTGGGCTAACATTAAACATGAATACTAAGGAATTGGTTTGGGCCTTTATTTTAAGTATGGTGGCTGAGTTTACTTGGGCTTCATTGGGTTTTTGGGGTGGGCTAATACTATTAATTTTTTATTTTATTTTTTGGTTTGGGCTAATATATTAGTATAGTAAAAAAAAAAATTTTTTTTTAGGGGTGGGCTACAGCCTACCTTTGCCTACCCCTATGTCCCGCCCCCGAGTATATGGTATGTTAGCTGTGATATACAGCTAGGACACATGCGGAGTGTTGGTATATGGTAGTGTAAGTGGCTCATACAGCTGAATTTGTGTGGAAGCGGCGAACTTACAAAACCAATCCATGAATTGCAAAAATTGAATTCTCAGATTTTGGACAAATTTGCTCTCAAACCGCAAATCCGGGTGCGAAGCTTGATAGCAAGTCCCTCCTTTCACGAACTATGTGACTAAGGTTGCACTTGTTAAGGTCCTTCGTCTGCAGTTGTGATGAATCATTGCTGCTACTGGAATCCTTGTTTTCTTTGAGTTCTATGGCTTCTAGGATGTGTATGAGGAATGAGGAAAAAGGGAATAAGGGTTTACAAATGGATAGTGGGGATTGGGCTCTTATATGGATGAATTAATACGAGTTAAGTTGGGTTGAATTGGATTTGGCTCGGACATTTTTATGGGTTAAAAAAGTGTTTTTATGAACGTATAAAAGTGTTTTTATATTTATTACAAGCTTATAATGAGTCGTTTGACAAGCCTGTCCACAAACAAACGAGCTGAGCAAGGGATTGTTTGAGTTAAACTTTTTTATTAATCGAGCTCAAAATTCTGTTTGAGCTCGGTTCATTTATTAAACAAGTGAGCACGAATTGAGCTCTTAGTGAGTGGAGCCTGAGTTACTCGTGAATAGCTCGGTTCATTTACTACCCTAGGAGTAAGGAAGAGAATGATACATATGTGGTTCGACAGATACTATGGCCTTAGAGAGAGGAAAATGGAAAAATCTGATTCAATTTAGCCGACCATATATATATATATATATAGTGACGGACCCAGAAAAAAATTTAAGAGGGGGCCTTGAACTGTAAAATAATTTTTTTTTTCAAACTACCATAATAAACAATTTTTTTTTTTTTAAACATTAATTAATATTATAATTAAAATTTGCTCATACCTCTAATTCAAGTAGTTTTTTAGGTAAATACTTTCATTTCGATTATTATCTAGCCAACATATTAGGAAAATTTTAGGCATGTTATATAAAGAAAGAACACTCAAGTGGGGGTGACCAGTATGTATAGAATGTTTTATCAAAAGTTTATTACGAGCATTATTAGAATTTGAACAAAATTTTAGGTGCATAATATGAGTCAAGAGAGTGTTAGGTGGGGCGGCCGCCCCTACTGACTACTACATGGGTCCGTCCCTGTATATATATATTTATGTATAAAATATCTTTTGCTGATAAATTCCTGAATTAATGATACAAATTGATTGAGAGATATTGCCAGGCTTAGTTTAAATATGAAATTATTGTGTCTATTCTTCCAATTGAATGAGATATATAATATGCTTGTTTTGGCAGGCAGAAGAAGCACAACAGTTGCGGCGGCTGCGGAAGAGGGAAAAAGCAGAAAGCATGCGTCTGTTAGACATGGAGAGAAGACAAAAACGACGTGTGGAGGAAATACGAGAGACTCAAAAGAAGGTTTGCACAATTCTGTCATTTTCTTCTCTGCAGATTACCATTTCTTCTTCTTCTTCTTCTTCTCTCCTGATACTCTCGCTTCCTTTGTTTTATGTTTCCTTGCATCCTTGGCTATTGATATGTTTTGCCTTCAGCGTAGCAGCGAATACTGTATTATATTTTTCAAGATTAACATTGATTATGTTTTTTATGTTCTTTAGGATGAGGAAAATATGAATGTAAAAGAGCAACTTCGTGCTGAAGTTCGGAAGGAGCTTAATAAGCTGGAAATGGCGTGTCATGATATGGCTTCACTTTTGCGTGGCTTAGGAATCGATGTGAGTGGGGGATTTCATCCCTTGCCAAATGAGGTGAGTTACACAGTTTCTTTACAATGCTTCAATTCTCATATAGTGCAAATAAATTCAACACTTTAATGGATCAAATCAGTAACGTTTTGCATTGTGTTTCTTTCCTTTCAATTGAATAGGGGACTTCGTTCATTATGTGACTTAGTATGCCTGGCAGTTCTGTTTTTAACTAGTGTTAGTGGTTGCTTTTAAAAATCCATTCTGTTGCTTCTCTTGCTTGTTTAAATAAAATGGCAGTTGGGTTGTTGTTCTTTTTAATAGTTTCCAGTAGGTCTTTTTCACGATCTATTATTAGCACCATTGTAAAGTGATGATTTCATTGGGGCAGATATATTTTTTGGCTTGAAAAATATGGAAGTCAATTCATTATCCTGTTGTAAATGTCATTGCTGACTGAGTGGGATAGATTACATAGGTATCAGAGAATATTGGATTAGTATGCTTTACTATATGATATACAAATATCTCTAATATTATTGGAGATAAAATAGAAAGAATCGATTAAGATAGTTTGATTATATGCAACAAAGTGCAGTAACTACACCTGTCAAAGAGAGTGATGTGATCCACATTGATGATGGCTTTAGGAGAAGACAAATTTTAACATAGGTTGAGAAACTATGGAGAGATAGATAGCATGTGAATTTGATTGAGGAATGGCCTTATAGAGCAGAATGACAAGATTCATCTAACCTATCCCAAATAATTGGGAAAATACTTTGTTTAGTTTAGATGAGTTGAGTTGTGCACGTATTCCTTAATATGATTATCTATACCTTCTGCCCTTGAACCTTTAAATAATGAAAATACGAAAGGTATATATTGAGCATTGGATGTGATCTTATGATCTTGCATCATTGTAGAGTACTATGAACTTGAAGTCCTTTGTAAGTGGTTTATTGGAGAGTAGTGACACTCTTGAGTTTGATACAAATACTCCAATGTGGGAGTCCTGTGTATAGTGTTAGATATTTCACATTGTTGGTGTAGTTATGGGCAGTAGTTCAACTTTAATTTGATGGGCAGTAGTTGAACTTTAATTTGATATGTATCTCTACTAAATTTTCAAAATTTTATTTTTATTTTTTATGTTTTATTTTTTTTATTGATAAGTAACACTCCCTCTGTCAAAAAAAAAAAAAAAAAAAAAATTGTCACAGTTCCTCAAAAGGGACTTTTATTTTTTGGGACAGAGGGAGTAGTGTATTAGAAAGCGCTCAAACGGGGAACACATCCCCAAAAAATACACAAGGTCAAAATAGCTACTAAACTCTCAAAAGAGTTCAAAAAATCAACTATGTCCCCCATGGATTTACGTGCTCTCCCCAAAATCCAACAAAAAAGAGAACAAACAATATAGAACTTTAGCGCTCCAATAGGAGTCTCCTTGCCATCAAGATATTCTATTCCTTCCTGTCCACAAGCAACACCAAACACACAAAGGCGTTGCCCTCCAAAAGTCGCGGGCTTGGGCATCCACTGTACATCCTCTCCAAGCCTCAATCAAACCCCTGGAGGACTAGGCCAGCTTTCACCACAATAAACAAATATTCTGCGTAAAAGGCATTTGGATAACTTCAAACCAGTCTTTGCCACAGCATTAGACACATTTAAATCACCAGCATTAATCTTCTCTTGAACTAGACTGGAGAAGAATCCAGTAACAAAGGAAAACAGCAAAGGAGACGATGGTCATCCTTGTCTGAATTCAGATTCAAAGGAGCACTGATTTCTGCTTCTACAGTACTTTATCTTGCAATAATAGCTCAGGTTCAGATTTTGTTGCAGATGTTTCTCCTAAGCAAGGCTTGTCTAAGGTGTAGTACAATTGACCACATTTTAAACTTTATATTATGTTGAATATTACTGAAAGAGTTGCTCCTCTATTTGACGAGTTCTTTAGTTTTCTTGCCTTTTGCAATAATGCATCCGTTTTCCCTGCAGACAGAACTGCTAGCAGTTTGGGTTAATTAGTTATCTAGAAAACAATGAAAGAAATTTGAACATCAGTCTCTGAGTGACGAACTGACAATATGCACTCTGATTGTGTTAAAAATTGTTCTAGGTACTCAGAATTGATTTCCAAATCCAGTCTTTTCCTTGACCTTAGGTATCAAAGGGGATCCTTATGGATGGCATTACCTCCTATCAATGCCAATCCATAGTTTCTTTGTTTTAGAAATAAATCTAGTTTGTGTTGCCACAAGGCAAGATTTTAAATGTGATGCTTGAATTTGAGTTCTGAAATGAATTTATTTCTTGCTGGCTTTAAATATGCAGGTATAGGAGAGTAGCGATTAATAGATTACAAATGCATATGAATTTGGTTGAAGAACTTCGTCATCAAGTTTTGTTTAACCATGGTTGATTTATGTTTTTTTTTTTACGATGAATTTTTTTAATTGATAAGAGGCTTTGTCTTTGAATTTGGTCTTCTAGCTTGCATGCTCACAACATAATTAGATGAAAGGTTTGGGTTAAATATCATTTTCATTGTATTTTAATGGAGGTTGATGCCCATTTCAGGTGCGTGTAGCTTATAAGCGAGCCTTGCTAAGCTTTCACCCAGATCGAGCTTTGAAATCTGACGTTCGTCAGCTGGTTGAAGCTGAGGAAAAATTTAAGCTTATTTCTCGCATGAAGGAGAAGTTTTTGTTATGATGATTCTTGATTATGAATACAAGGTTTGCATATTGATTAGATTTGATTAATCCTCTCACTGGTATGGGTGAATGTTGTGAATCTGCCTTGTATCCTTTATGGTTTTCCATGGAGCGGCCTTCAAGCTATTACCTGGTCTTGTCCTACCGGGTAGACGAATCATTATTTTGTGAAGCAGTTGTAGCCTTCTGTATCTTCTAGCTAAAGCATTGTTTTTTTCATCCAAAGTTGATTCACTTTGTGTGGGTGACCATGATTCTTGGGGAATTATCATTTTTACCAATTCATTTAGTAGTTTTGGCATATGAAAACTGCTGAATTCTATGTAATTATTAGAAAATAGAATATGCAACCTTTCAACCCATGACTGAAGAGTGAAGGGTTGATCATGACCTAGCATTCTTTGGATCTTGTTGAGTTTGGTGACTGTCCCAATTGTTTTGGACTAGAATTTACTTTGATATGGGCTTTTGGGGATGAAAATGTTTCTGTAAGTTCGAGGAATATGTTTTTTTTTTTTTTTTTTTTTTTGTCTATTTCACAATAAATAGTCTCATTTCTAAACAAATTAAGTGAAGAGTGATTTGTAGTTAAGGAGAATCTTATTTCTATACTTAAGTTTTCTATTATCGATTTTTTTGGGCTTTTGAATGTCTAGAGGTTCTATTAGGCCTCAGTGTGGTTCTGTTGGGATGTGCTCTCTTTTTGGGTGCTTTTATACAATTTTAGTTATAAAAAAATGCACGATTGTGTAATTGTTACCCAAATAACATTGTAAAACAATTTTTTGAGACAACCTTGATTGAATATTTCAGGCTAGGAGAAAGCCTCTTCATTGACCTCGTTTCCATGTTCCTGCTTCCATTTAAATTAACCCACCTAGTCTTGTCATCCTGGCGTGTTTTCAAAGTGTCCAATATCAGTGTCCAAAAAAAAAAAAAACATAAAATATTTATATTTTAGAACTCTTTTAGCTTTTGAGTGTCCAAACACCGTCACGTCACTCTTAGGTGAAGTGTGTGCGCCTTGATGAAATCCATATCAAATGGCATATCAGCCTCCCAAGTGGGGTGTCAAATGGAACATGACATATTTAACAAGTGCAAAATAAAATAAAAGCAAGAGAGGATGCACATTAAGATTGAACCACTACAGAGAAATTGAGAGAATTTGAGAGACTTCTGGGGGAGTTGGAAGAACCTGCCCCTCTATTCTCCTATTGATTCTCTGCGATCTCGGATCTCCACCTAGGCCTCTCTTCTCTTAGAACACCTTATAATTCACCACCGGAAAAATGTACACCTTAGGTGTTAGCTATTGCATATATGTGTTAGACTTGGTGCCTTCCCTCCACTGTTTCGAAGGAAATCCAAGAGAATCCCATATAACAATGCCTAATGAGAGGAGTATAAAACATGACATTCTTGTCTTTAGAAACATGAAGAAAGGTCAGATTATTACGGAAACAAAATTTTATTTTCATAAAATGATATCTTCAGGCCATTTATCGTTCTTGCAGTCACCCTAAGCAACCTTACATTATTACCCTGTAACATTATATGTATAAATAACACATTTTTCATTACATACTTGTGAATGAATGATTTCTCCGTGTGTCAACAACCTTTAGCTTCTCATAATGCATCGAAATTCTTGTATCAATGTCTGTTGGCTAATTCATCCATGTTCCACATTTCACTAACATTTCTGGTGCAGCACACTACAGAGGGTGGATTATTACCTGAACTCCGTGTTTTGGGCGTACTGTCACCATTGTATATGGGGAGTGAATGTAAGTAGGGGAGAGGGTGAAGCTATAGCGCTGCAGAATCATTGACAGAACAATCTTCGCTTCATTGATTGCAAAGTTCATTCCTACACAAATCCGAGGTCCCAAGCCAAAGGGAATAAACGCTGTCGGGTTGTTATTGGCAGCTTTAGCAACCCCTTCAGAGAATCTCTCCGGTTTGAAAAGCAGCACATCTTCTCCCCATATTTGAGGGTCGTGATGAAAAGCCAATGGCGGGATTTGAATAATTGTATTGGCCGGAACAATGTACTTCCCCAATCTGACTTCGTGTTCAGCTTTTCTCACAGTTGCAGGGGCTGGAGGATATAGTCTTAGAGATTCGTTGATGATCATGTTCATCTGCATAAGAGGAGAAAGGACACATTAACAAATACGGTAGTGTTGGAAATGCATAATGTTCTTCACTCCAAACAAGAATTGCAACAACTCGGGTACGTACTATTTTCAGCCTTCCAATGCCTTCTGAATTCGGATTTTGTTGGCCAAATAACTCTACCACCTCCTGCCTCGCTTTCTCTTGCCAATCTGTGTGAATTGCTAGAAGAAAAACTGTCCATCCAAGCAACGTCGCTGTAGTTTCCTGTCCAGCAATGTAAAATGTCTTGCATTCATCAACTACATCATCTACTGTAATCCTGTTCTTCTCATCAGAATCATGATAAGCCTTCACAAGTAATCCAAGATAATCAGTCCCGAATCTGTCTACTTCTCCGGTCATCACCTCCTCTCGTTTCTTTATAATCCTTATAATGGAATCTCGTATTCCTTGTACAAGTTTATCTGATTCTATATCAGCAGCTGTTTTAAAAATTTTACTGCACAATTGAATGAAAAATCAAAATCCGTATGAGAAACAAAACCAATATGGCTTTTACTGGAGGGAAATGTTCAAAAGCTAGGAGTCGTTGACAGAATCAATTAGTCATTCAGAGAATCATAGTTGATAATCCATGTTGATTTTGAAGACTAAACAACATTTTTTTTTTTGGTCATACATTTTGCATACATATAGTCAATCATAATGAAGGATGAAAATTTAGTTATTTGAGTTTATATAGCAGAATTTTTGAAGTATACTGTATATTAGTCCCTTATATTTAGAAAAAATGGTGATTAAATGTCGTAGAAGTCTTGTATTGCCTACTACAGATTGTACCAAATATCCCTTCACTTAATGACAGTCACCTCTAAAAAGCTAAAAACTAATTTATCGAAAAGAAAAGAACGTTAAATTCCTGTATTTGTTCATGTCTTACTCGAATGAATCTGAGGATGAATTTACCTGAGACCAGGAAGCCTGATTTTCAAAACTTTTCCGTTACTCAAGACGGACAACCTCAACACCATCTCGAAAATGTCCTTCCCTTCTAAATAGCTGCTCCCAAAAGCTGTTCTAGAAATCACTTCCGATGTTAACATCCTGAACTCTTCAGACACATCCACCTCTTTTCCTTCATACTGTTTCCACCTTCCTACCATCATTTCCGTACTTGCAATCATATCCGGAATCATATTCTAGTTACATAGTAGAAACACACAAACATTAATTTTCTTGTAATTTTTTTTTTTAATGATTATTTTGTATTCAAATTGCTAAAAATAAAAGCTTACTTTCAACCTCTCTGCATTGAAAGCATGATTAGCCAGTTTTCGCACTTTCACCCATTTTTCGCCTTCCGAAAACACAAGACCATCTCCGAATAGCTTCTTCACAAACCCTTCAGCATCCATCTTTCCATAAGCTTTTTCTCTATTGTTCAGTACTTCTTTAACCAATTCTGATTCTGTAACGATTAATCGAGGTTTTGGACCATACCAATTAACACAATTCTTCCCTGTTAATTAATTAAAACAAACAAAATAATATAAAACTAAATGTTAGATTTTTTTAATTTTTTTTTTTTAGGATTAAGAAGATTCAAATGGTCATAAATAAAAAATACTAGTGTTTACCATATATGCTGATCCATGAGTACATTTCAGGTAGAATTCTAGGAAATATGTTGTGGGATGATATTTCCATGGGTTTGCTGTTGGATTCCTTCCTCATTCTGAAGATTTCTTTTGTGTTTCCATGGAGGAATCTGTAAGGAGGGCCATTGATTCCCTGTGACCGCAACGCGCGTTGTATGCGAATTGGAGTCCACCATACCTTGTGAAGGAATTTGAGGAGACTCCAGAGGATGAAGAGACACAGAGAGCTTGAAAGAAAGACTCCCAAGGTTCCCACAGAACTCATATTGCTTTAAACTCCAAATCAACTCAACTTTCACAATCAGCCAATGGTTTCAATCTTTCTTGCTGTGTTTGTGAGGAAGAAGATTGAGATAAGAATCTTTGTTTTGGCTCCACTTACATGCCAAAATTATATGGTAAACGACGGATTTAACAGAAAAGTCAAATGTTATTTTCTTCGTGTGTGTTCAGCACTTTTCTGTCGGTCTTGATTAAACTTCGTGTTCTTTGTTGGCGGCGTTGTCTAAACACGTGAGCCATCGATTAATAGTCATACCCTCGTTTGATGGGACCAACGAATCAGTAGAACAAATGACAAAAGAATCAGCTAGATGGGACCAACGCATCCGATGGCAATGAAGACTTGCAATTAAGGTCCTCCTTTATATTTACAGAGGAGTTATACAGAATATTAAATTACAAAGGAAAGTATAATAATCCCTGTAATCACGTTATACAATAACAAAGAATAATATAATCTCTATATTCAATTATACATTATGAAAAATAATAATCCCTATAGTATAATCTTTATAGTCAACTATTCATTAGGAAATAATAATAATTCCTATAATCAAGTTCCATAAATCAACCTAGAATTAAGGAATTAAGGTGATTGATTGATATCTTTACACCCTAGTATAATTTATGAAGTCAACTATTCATTAAGGAAAGTATAATAATCCAATAAACAAGCTCCATAAATCAACATAGAATCAAGAAATTAAGGTGGTTGATTGATATCTTTACACCCTCCCGCAATCACAGCGGCGCTAGCCACTCTGAGATTGGCACGTGCTTGAGTAAATCGAGCGACAGGAAGACCCTTAGTTAGAGAGTCAACCAACAGAGCATGACTAGGAACAAAAAGCATTTGTAAGGCACCACGAGCAGCACGTTCCCAGATAAAATGGTAATCAATTTCTATGTGTTTGGTACGACGGATTGGAAACAAGATATGTGGCACTGATATTATCAAAAAATAGAGTAGGAGGTTTGTGAAGAAAAAAACCAAGTTCACGAAATAGTGATTGGAGCTAACATAGGTCCACAATACTAGTTGCCAGAGCACGATATTCGGCCTCAGTGGAAGACCGAGAGACTATTGGTTGCTTTTTAGAGCTCCACATGATAAGATTAGAACCAACAAAAATACAACTACCAGAAGTAAAACGACGATCATCCCGATAGCCGGCCCAATCAGCATCCTAATAGGCAAAGAGATGCATGCCTTTGATAGGAACAAAATGTAAGCCAAACTGAATTGTACTATAACGACCCGAACCCAAGGGTCCAAATCGCTAACCTGATCCTTACCCGAACCTGAAGTCAACTAAGGACATTACCATCATGTCCTATGTCAATACATAATATACGTGTCATTCCAGGGTTTATAAAAAAAAAAATAATAATAATAATTAATAAATAAATAAATAGATAATAATAAAATGAGATCATAGTTACAAAGTATGTCAAAACGGTCTACTAACCCTTCGAACCTTGTGGAGGAGCGTCGTCCGCCACTTCCCGTCCGTATCCTAAAAAATGTTAAATATAAGGGGTGAACAAATTACTCAGTAGGAGGTGCCTAAGACATACCTCTTATGACCCCGTGAATCTATATAGAGAATAAAAAGCATGCAAACGGGATCATACTATATCGTGGATGTAAACCATAACCACAACATCCAATAAAAACACAAATGTCATCCAAGTCCCACATACACCATGTATGCCAATGAAGTGCAATGCCATGCTCATGTCGCTCCCCATTTACGAAACATTGCCATTTCAACTTTTAAACCGTTAGTGTAATCCGACCCAAGGCACCTCCAAGGCATCACGAGGGAGGGGTTGGCTAGTCTTCCCCGACCACATGGCACCTCCATGGCGTCGTCTATGTAGTTCAACCACACTAGCATCTCTCTCTAACCCCCTCTAGATCACATTAACACCACGGACCACTAAGCGCCTCCTAGGCGTCCGGGTTTTCGCAAACACTTTTCAAAACAATTTCTCCAAAATAGTTTCATTTGCTTTCAAAACATTTTTTCCTTTTTCATGCCCAATGTCATGCATGAACATCACATACTTTTTCAATGTAATGGCAATAAAAGATTTTATAGTACAAAATTCAACATACTTACACATAGCAATTTCTAGCAAATTAATAAGCACCAAAGGTATGAAATTTAACACATTAGGCATGCTTTTCATACAAATCAATTAATACACATATTCAGAGATTTCATATTACACAATTCAACATACTTTCACATAACAATTTCTAACAAATTAATAAGCACCAAAGGCATGGAATTTAACACATTAGGCCTGTTTTTCTCACACAACAACAACAATACACATAATTATAATTTTCATATACAAAAATTAAATCATATTAAAGAAAATTCATCATAATTATAGCATGCTAGGCAACAACACATGGAGAATAATTCACTAAAATCCAAGAAGTTATGGATTAAACACACCTACCTCACTTAGATGCAAAAACCCCCAAATGGGTCCCAAAATTCGAAATCCCTAGTGTAACGACCCAAACCGGGGGTTCAGATCGTTAACCGGGTCCTTAACCAAACCCGAGGACGCACCAGGGGTAAAATGGTCATTTTACCTTATGAGTGGGTAATGAGACCTCAAACTAGCCTAATGAGGCCTAAAACAATTATTTAGGTCATTTCATGATGCACAGTGAGGTTCTACGGTCATCGGATAAGAATTCCCAAAAGTACCATTTCCCTATTCGAAGAGAATTCAGACATTGTCCCACTAAACCGACCACAACTCTCAACATGAGTGGAATTTGGAGATGAGGTTGGTATCATTGGAAAGCAAACTCAAAATCCTTGAAAATGACTCAAGAATGACCCCATTTGGGTTTGGAACGAAGAAGTTATGACCATCCGAAGTTGAGTGATCAAGAGCTGAGCTGCCAAGGCAAATTTGTGCCTACTGGAGGATTTGAACCGGTTCAAGAATCTTAAATTGGTTCAAGATGGGCAGTAAGCCCATAAATGAACCAAAATGCTCCCTTGAACCGGTTCCAAGATGTTGAACCGGTTCAACATGCCCAGAACCTAAAATTTTTGTCCGGAAGGTCTAAAAACTGTGTACTTGAACATGGGAACCCCCTTTGGTCCCTTGGTGACCTTAATCAAGTCTAAACCTGTCCCAAATCATGCAAAACCATTGAAATACAAGTTTTGATCTCCATTTAAGAACGATAGCAACATAATCATACATAGTTCTCCATAGTCTTTTACAAAAGAGCAAAAATTCCATATAATTACAGTCCAAAGTTTGCATTTGTCACTACAACATTACACCACAATACTTGATCTTTACAAAAGAGCCTAGATCATAATTCTATACAAAGGCAACAAAACGGTGGTTCCAAAACTGTCTAGAGTTGTGGAAGATTATCGTCTGCCAATTCTTTTCTCGAACCTGAAAAATGTTAAAGAATGGGGTGAGCTAAATGCCCAGTAGGAAATGTCTAAGAGATTATTCTTATGACCCCGCGAACCCATACAAAACATAGAAAAATAAGAGAGAGGGGTTATGCTCATTCAGAAGGGAAAACATAACAACAATTCCAACAACACATCAATATCCTCCTCAAGCCATGCCATGCTATGCGATGTAATGGTATGCAATGTCACTCCCCGTTTCAAAAACCATTATCCGTCATTGTTTCCAACTATTAATGCAACCCGACCTATAGCGTCTCTATGGCGTTAAGAGGGAGGGGTTGGCCCGCTATCCCCGACCACATGGTACCTCCATGGCGTCGTCTAGGCCTAGGTAGCTCAACCACACTAGGGTCTCTCCCTAGCTCCCTCTAGATCACATTAACACCCCGGACCACTAGGCGCCTCCTAGGCGTCCTGGTTTTCGCAAAATCTATCAAAACATTTTCCCAAATCGATTTCATTTGTTTTCAAAACACTTTTCCCCTTTTTCCTTCCCAATGATAATGTATGAATTATGCAAATCCTTCAATGCAATGACATTATAGAAATTCCATACAATTCAACCTCACAATATAGTATGCTTAACAAGAAAATTTCTAATAGAATAAAACATGCTTCCTAACACTCAACTTCAACAACTAGGCAAATGGAATTGAAAATACAACCATTTAAGCATGATTCTTAATCAAATCCAACAGCCACAACTCATGAATCACTGTTACATGAATACCCACATGGATACACAAGGTTTACACATAACACTATAGCAATTACTCAAGGAATTACTCAATTTAGTAAGTTATACATTAAATATAAGAAGATAGGTCACAAAAATCAAAGATTAAGTGGATTAGAACACCCCTACCTCAAAGTGATTAGCCAAACAAGGCCTAAGGCTAAGCTAAATTTTGATCTCTCCCAAACCCCAGCAATATGGGTGCCAAATGGAAACCCTTCTCAAGCTCCTTAATGATCTCCTCTCAATTTTCCTTAAAGCTCACTCCAAACACCTCAAATCAAAGCTTGAATTTGTATAGGCATAAATGTGATATATAGATGTAATGAGAGAAAGGGGGAAGGAGACTAGAGAGATGCACGAAAATGAGGGGAAAGAAAAAGGGGTTTGGTCTTACAATTGAAGTCTTAGCCCTTAGGGTGCCACTTCTCAAGCAAGAAATGGTCTATAATTTTGGTGAAGTTACAATCTTGCCCATGCTCATTCCAATTAATGCCTCCTTTATCCTCCAAAATATCTTCCCAATTATAGATATATGAATATAAACATATGAGTGAAATGTCTATAATGCCCTCCCACAAAAATGAGAAAATCGGGAGAAGTTCCTGAACCCGAAAAATCGTTCCGACCTCGAAAAAATTATAGAATGACGCCACCACTTCTAAATGACTTAACATGATTAAAAAAAAATCGCTAGAGCCCTCGGCTAAAAAAAATGACTAAAACGCCCTTCAGTGCCAATGTGACACGCAAAACGAGAAAAGACGAAAATGCCCTTTCAAAAACAGAAAAACCCAAAAATGAAAAATGACAAAATTCAGAAACATTACACCTAGAGTGCACCAAACAAAGAATTGCTTATATCAATGTGTTGATCTCGCCGTGGTCTCCGTTTTGCCGCTATCCAAAATTCCAAGATACGAAGGAGTAATTAAAGATTGAAGTTATGATGTAAAAAGA